TGCAAACTATATATATATATATATATATATATCACACCCATTATAATATCTATAGATATAAATAAATCAGAACTCACTTGTTTCAGGATGTCTTGCTTCTGCAGTAAAATGGAACAAAAATGAGAGAATCCTGTTAGTCCAGTTGTAGAATTTCAGACACATCTTCTTCTTGCTGTTTACATGAATATTTCAGCACTGAGCAGCTACTGGCTCATTATAAGGGATTTTTTTTTAAATTAGTGTGTTAGAGATTATTTTATATCTACTTTCCAAGAGACCTGACTGTTGAAGTGTAAGCCAATGGGTTGTTACCAAGGTCCACATCGGAAAGTTGCAGTACAAGTGGCCGAACATCAGAAGCGAAAGTATTTTAGTACAGGACCATAAGATGTGTGGAAGGTTGCCTTCAGATTCACTGCAACACCAACATAGATAGGAGACCTGAGGGTATATCTTATGGAGATTTGAGGGAAAACATACACTGCCTGGGCCCCCCCCCCCCAAAAAAAAAGTCACCACCTGGATTTTGGGAAGAGTTTGCCGGGGAAGCACAGCAAGCAGTCATAGAACAGTTACTGTGAGAGCCATTGCGCATGCATGTGTGAGACGATTACAAGCATTACGAAACCGTGAAATGTGCATGTGCAATGGCTCCCACAGTATCTGTTCTATGACTGCTTGCTGGGCTTCCCTGACAGTGTTATGATCTGGGGTCACTTCAGTTGGTCAGTTCTAGTGTCAGGACTGGATGCACTCACCTTGGTCAGAGTGTATAGTGGAGAGTAGGCTTGTGATGCTTAAATAGAGCACCACTAACCAACCATCAGGCTGTGAGGGGCATGTTGCCAGGCTGATTAGTCTGATCAGCCCGCAGCTGACTAGACTGGGGTAGGTGCAGTTACAAGAGGCAACCAGATGGAGCTGAGTGCTGCGACAGCCATAGGAGCATTTGACATGCTTCTGACATCTAGGCTCAGCAACGTTATGTGTCCAAAAAATGAGGTCAGCTGCTACCTGAATAAACTGAATGACCAGGTTTTTCCATCAATGGATTTTTTCTTCTCTGATGCCACAGGCATATTCCAAGACAACAATGGCAGGATTAATCGGGCTCAGATTGTGAAAGAGTGGTTCAGGGAGCATGGGACATCATTGTCACACATGGATTGGCCATCACAGAGTCCAGACCCTAACCCCATTGAGAATATTTGGGATGTGCTGGAGAAGACTTTACGCAGAGGTTCGACTCTCCCATCATCACTACAAGATCTTGGAGAAAAATGAATGTGACTCTGGATGGAAATAAAGGTTGTGACATTACATAAGCTTATGGAAACAATGTCACAGAGAATGCGTGCCATAGTCAAAGCTAAAGGCGGTCCAATGAAATATTAGAGTGTGTGACTTTTTTTTTTTTGGCCAGGTTGTATACATACTTTAGAGTGTATGTAAAGGCAATTTTTTTTTTTTTAGTTTTAGACAAAGTTTCCTATCCTATGCTGATTCCTTTCTGTGCTCTGAGGCAGGTTCACCCCTTTATTGGTCTTGGTAACCGAAACAGAAAGTAAGGGGAGATCCTACATTTTAGAATTGTCTTGAAAGCAACAGGTGAGGGATTAGATAACCCTAACACTAACCATGTTCTTAGGACAACTGTTTTAAGATTGGATCTGAGGAGATCAGAATTCCCCTTGTGTCTCCAAGACAAGAAGTGAAGAAAAATCTTCTTCAGACAACAAAAAAAAAGAACTGATGGGGGTTTAACCCTTTAGTACTTTATCCAAAGCTGAAAAAAATTGACTATACACACTATAAGCTCCGGCCTTCCCTTCAGTCTTGCACAGTTGTACCGCCTCCTCTCCTGGACTGAAATGGCTTCCTCTGATTTCACTGCACACTGGGAGCTTCTGCAGCAAGTCAGATAGAGCCCACCTCATTTCCTGGCTGGAGGATGTTCAGCATGACATAGTCCTTTACTCCCCAGTCTGACTGTCCCTGGCCCACCCCTTTCATTCATTGGATTTCAGTTCTTTCAATCATTGGGGATGCAATATCACATGTGGGTGTTACCTAAGGCAATCTTCATGCAAATACAGTCTGCTTAGGAACGCCCACTTCTCCAGAGTGACATTCACCCATAAAGGCATTTCGATATTTGCTTACCTCTCAAGAGCCAACCCACTGATTAGGAGTACTAAGTTTTGGCTTCAGTTGCATTTTAAAGGTACGTTTGGCATATAGAGCTTTTGCACTGAAAGGGAATAGTGAACACAATTGTCTGTTTTACAAGTTTTCATCAGCTGGGCCGTTATGTGTTAAATGTTCTATTGTTTTGCTGCAATATAAAGTCACTGGGCCGGACATAAAGTCTGATTTATATTCTTCATGGTTAGAACAATCTTCTTATCTCGGCCATTGGCGTAGTCTAGGAATGTGAGATGAAAGAATCTTTGTTCTTTTGCCGCAGTGTTATACTCCCATAATACAAAATGAAATTATTTCTACACTGTATCTGAGGAACAATAATGGCTCTTAAAGAGACCCTGCGGTCTAATTGTGCAGGCGTGGCCAGGGGCAAGGAAGATTTAAGCCCCTCCTGGCAGATTCAGGTAAATTTGCATCTGGGGCGGGCGGTGGGGGAGGGCAGACAGGAAGTGTCGGTCTACTTTATCTGAAAGCGTACTTGTCCTTTAAATTTCCTTCAGAGTTGTGCTTAGATGCTTATCGCCAATCTCAGTCCAGTGCCGATAATGAACACTGCTGACAATAATTACCTTACAATAGTAAAAGGGGATTTCAGGAATATGGGAAAAAAATTTGTCAAAGGTACAGTAAAGTCTTTTTTAATTAACATGTTTCGCCTCCTTCAGCGACCCAGAAAATATCTTTGTCTTCTGCTTTGGACTGGCAGAAGAGACGACAGCCTCTAAAGGGGGCCTGCTGCCGCACATTAGCATTTTGCACTAAAGTCCTAAGTAATACCCTTCAAATATTTTTAATATGTGCAAAATGTTATTTTCTGATATTTAAAGAACTAATGTTAACCCTTGCCGCGTTTTTAAGTGCTCGTTTTGATCTAGGAGACAAAGTAGCAAAGTTATACTCACCTGAACCCTGCAGCTAGCTGGCTGTTAGAATGGACCATGCAGCCTGTCTCCCCCTCCGCTCCAGCGGTCTAAGATCCCATGAGTCATCACGTCCAATTAAGTATATTGGATGTGAGGACAACGACTGACATTTCATCACTGGAGTGGAGAAGGAGATGCTCCAGAGACTGACCAGTTATTTTGGTGTCACCAGTGTTGTCACAAGGAGACAAAAACGCCTTCAAGGATCCAAACCCACAAGCAACAGCCATGACTACAACTCCAGGGCGAGTGGGAGGGACAATCGTTTCTCATCTGCCATTCTTCAACTGGATCCACGTGACTCCTCCTCACAGACCTCCCTCTGAAGCCCCTCCTGGCTGACCTTTTTCACTCAATCTGGTAAGTGTCCCTCCTCTACCTAACTTTTCTCTAACCCTTCCTGTCCTGGTTCCCCATCCCATCGTTGTCATGTAGGTCTTCCGCTCACTCCCCTTGGTAGCATTTTTAGAAGGAAGTCAGAAAAGGCAATTCCTATATTTATGTTTGGGAAGGTTTATTTAAAGATTTGGCCTTAGTAAAAAGATTGGTTCAGGGTACTAAAACCATTGAATGGGGCTTGCAACAGTGACATGCCACTGATACTCCCTACAATGCATATGGAAATCATGCAGGACACTTAGGCTACATTCACACGGTCCAATTTAGGATTTTTGCAGCAGGAAATCCATATTACCCATTTAGATGCGGCCACTGACCTGGTCATTAAAGGAGAACTATGGGGTTAAGGCTTTTCCCCATAGTTCTCCTTAGTGTAACGGGAGGACACAAACTAGCGTCCTCCCGTCACCCTAGGCTCAGTATACCGTGAGCTGTAGCTCGCGATATACTGAGACGCCGCAGTATACCACGAGCTGCTGCTCGCGGTATACTGAGACGACGCAGCTGAAGCGGATCCCGACAATTATGCTGGGATCCGCCCAGCTGCGTGACTGACAGCTGGCTCTGCCTATCTAGAGGCAGAGCCAGCTGTACCCGCCCCCTCCCCCGTCTGTTCCTGCCAGTCAGCGCTGGCGGATCGGAGCGGGGAGGGGGGAATCCAG